AATATACAGGTGAAGTAATAAAACAGCTTTCTCGCTTTATCTTCTGACATTCGGCTGCCTTATACACAAAATTTAGAGGCGATTTTTTGTATAAGGCAGTGCCAAAATCTTTCTTCTCGCTCTAATTACTTCACCTGGTATAATTCCGCTATGGCATGAAACAAACAAAAGTTGCCGTTCCTGTTCGAAGCATATGTATAACACAGAAAATATTGTTTTGAGTTTTATCTTCAGTTAAAATTTCTGCATTATCATCACTTGCTATATCCGACCGGTGGATTTCGTTTACGAAGACGGAGCGAACATGTGGTACGAAATAGTGATGCAAAAATATGTACAATTTTATCTACTCTCATACTTCTAAATTTGAACGTATACTCGGTACAAGCGGCGGGTGGGATGAATGGCATAATTAACAGGTGAAGTAATAAAACAGCTTTCTCGCTTTATTTTCTGACATTCGGCTGCCTTATAGTCACAATTTTTAGGCAAAATTTCAAATAAAGCAGTGTCAAAATCTCACTCTAATATTACTTCACCTGGTATAATTCCATCATGGGTGGGGTGCATGCAATAACACCATACGCAATAATTCCCATTACTTGGACATTAAAAAGCCGTTTCAGAAGTGAACTAGCGCGAACGCGGACTGGCGCGACGCTGGGCACTTTCAAAATTGTAGACTTACAAATTCGTCCATTTAACTTGTTCATGTACTACGTTTTGTCAAATGTAACCTATGTGCACTATTTTGCTTTATTACTCAATTGTTAAGTTTAAAAGTTGGTCTTATTGCTCAACGAGAAATAAAATAAAGCAAATTTGTGTTATTTCACATTCAATTGGGAATGAAACACAAATTTGCGTTATTGCCATTTGTGTTATTTCAACCCCGCGCATCTGATAACCCTGTATCCTCGAAAGGACCCAGAGGAATCAATGTCCGGACGGGGCCCGGGTTCCGATAAGGAAGTGCCAAAGTCGATTAAATAGTGGTTCGTTGCAGTGTTCGTCATCAGTTTTGTTTCGGTTTCAGTTTGTGTTTGTTGTTTTTTTTTTTGTCTAAATCATTCATTATTTGGTCCCACAAGTATGCACGGAAAGGGTTCGTCACTCGCCCGCAGATCCAGCATACGTAGAGAAGGCACTTATACCTTGCCCGCGCATCGGAGGGGACCGTTTGCGGCCGGCTATTCAATATACACCCGCTGACCATTCAGCCATCGGCACGGGTACATCAACATCTTGGCTTAGGGTGTTGCTGGTTCGGCTATCTCCACATACGTACTTTCCAACCGGGAAGTTTGCTCACATACCAGTTTGGTTTGTTAGCTTCCCTCACGATTGCAAAGGATATGAAGCTTTCCTCTTAGTTCATCACGATCTAGAACCTCCATTTGGGGAATTTCCATGTCGTCATTTAAGCCCCTTCGCCACGGCAAGACGACCAGCATTGAAGGAGTGAATGAATGATCCCGAAAATATTATAAATCGGGTTTTTTATCAAAAAATATTTAGAGGTCGCTCAAAGCGCTCAAAGTTTTCCATGCATTTTATATGGAGAAAGAAACAAGTTTTCGTAGAAATGGTACAGAATTCTTCAATATCAATATTTCTAGATCGGAAAACGTAGCTTCTGTTTAGGAGACTGCCAATAATAATACACAATTGTTTATTTTACCATTTTTAAATACTAGCAATTTTTATGGATCCCCCTTGCATATTCTGATGGTTTTTGGGGTCGTATAAGAAAATGATTAAAAAAAGAATTGGGTGATATCATTGAAAATCTCCAAAAGAGATAAAAG